TGTCCCCTTCGTGGATCGAACACGATACCTCCAGATGATTGTGACTGAGAAGACTTCAGTCTGGCGCTCTCCCAATTGAGCTAAGGAGACTGGTACGCGATGGAGCGATGATGGGCTAGAGGTTTCACATTACTGCGTTTTTTCGTCGGATTTGGTGGCATCAGACCGAGTTTCTTGTAAAACAGACTTGACTGTTGTTACAATTATCATGGTTCTTTTTTTTTGTGAAGATGGGAGTTTTTCCGTGCCGAAGACTAGTGGTGCTAGTTTGGTGGAGGTTGCGGTTTGGGTAAGGTACTGTGGGGTTAGTACTACTGTGGAGGCTGTTGATGTTTTGATTGATAAGGCTTAGAGAATAGATACAGCGGGATATTTTCCCCCAGTACTCGGTACCGTGTAGAGATGGAACGAATTCATAACGTATGCCGCATGCTGAGCGTTGTGGGGCGTGCTGCGGCCAGTAATGGTTTGATGCTAGTATCAGAGTGACATACGTAAAAGGGCGGAAACCTGATACTAGTGTAGTTGCTTTGGCGAAAGATTGTAAATCGAGAGTGCACACTCTGTAAATTCAGCTGCGGTTGAAAAGTACCATCGATGTGAAGGTGCGTTGGTGAAACAAGACAAGACTCAAAGGCTACACGTGAGCTTGATGACGACATTCAACGTGTTCAGGGTGAATCTCCAAAGATCGGCAAGATGTGCATTCAAAGACATTGACTTGTTTTGCGACCCCCGCTTTACCGCCGTATGTCCAAGAAGGAACACAAAAATCACAGTCCGGATTGCCTTGTTTTGGCAATGCCATCCAAGTAAAAGGAAAAAGTGACGAAGGAATGTTGATTGGAAATACCTACTACTTCCAGCCAATCACACCGCAGATAATTCTGCTGACATACTTAGCTTGCCTTGCAAAAAACGCAGTACGTGACTGCGGCCATAATGTCGTGATCAACACGCTATTCGTCGCTGATCCTTTATTCTCCATTGAAAGCGGTAAAACTCTTTGCCGCAACGTAGCACTCTTGCGCGCACTCGTCCGACAGTGGTGTGATCCATGCGATATGAGGGGGGGGGGGCAAGTGAAGCGGTGGGTAAGTAGGTAGATCCACTGTGCACGCAACCAAACATTTTACGAGCGCATCAGCCGCGCTAAGCCAAACCAAGATGATGATGGATAACTTGTGATGGTCGTTCATTCAGCTTACATATGGGCAAATTGTCAGCAAAAATGGATTTGTGAGCAGTTTTCCTTTTGGTTGGGGTAGCACGCAGATGCTAAATAGCCTCAGAATTGAAGCGCGGAATTAAAGCGCGGAGGCATAACTTGGCGGCAAATAGAGATCACGTTATATTCCCCAAAGAAACTCCGCGCCAACAACCGTACCTGTAATCGCCCGATTACTCGTTTCGCTCTAGACCGCGGCCGTGGCCTGTGTCAATTAACCCCTTCCCTTCCCGTCCCCCCTTGCCTGGGAGCCTAAAAAGAGAGCACAAAGAGTCATATGTACGTGCTACCGCCAGGCACCCATACCTTTTATATCTCGAAACACATCCCCACTCGGAACTTGGGAAGATCTCACAACTGATCTTCTGTCCTCGGAAGACAAAATAAGAATTACCGTAAGAGGCACAGCGCACACACGCGTAAGACGCTTTAAGACCCCACATATCCCGACCCGAAGCCACCTACGCTGCCCCACATCGCGAAGAGGAGGAAGAGCAAGTGATACAACTACATCAGCAATCGCCGTCGTCTTGTCCTGTAATACCCGAATCCAAAAACCCCATTCTCCCCTTTTACTTCGCACCCAATCTTCAAGTCGGACGTTATCCACGAAAAGTCATCGGCAGAAATTATACGAAAGAAATAAAGTAAAGGAACGATAATATAGTCACAATGGCCCTCTCAACACACGCAATGTCGCATATCCGCCGCTACTCAACACGCATGCCACGCGACCCTCACTACCGCCTCAAAGCCTCGCTCGCAACCAGCTACGTCGTGACTGTGTGTGCGCTGCCGTTTGTGCCACCGCTGCTTGAGACAAGGAGAGCAAAAGCAGATGGAAGTTGGATGACAAAGTACGTTGAAGACTATCTCTTTCACCGTGCTCCACATTGCTCGTTGTAAAAGCATATCGGACTGAAGGAAAATACTAACTGCCAAACAGAGAAAGCATGCATTGTTCGTCGCAGTTTCTGGGTTGTCCAAGGTGAAGCGTGGGGGGGTTTTTTTTTGGGTAAGATGACGCAAATGTCAAGTAAATGATGAACAGGAATAGACTAACCAGATCGTCCAGTCATCTTCTTGCATCTTTTCCTTCATTCAGGCTTCCAACATATCCGGCGTTCTTGGTTTCTTTCTTCGCTCTCTGATACGATAGTCAGAGTACTGCGGATTTATTCCAACACATTTGATTGGGCATGGTTTCAACAAGGGTGGTTCCCGAGTACTGTTTGTATGATTTGAATCTCGATCAAATGAACGTCTAGTGAACTTGCTAGTACTGAAACTTTATATGCTGATTTCCTTGCTACTACCCCTCCTTAGTCAACATCGCTAGGATGCGTTTGTTGGTTTTCTACCGCGTCATGCATCTCTTCTTCCTCGTCTTCGTCCTCGGTAGCCGTTTCGTACATGGTGACGTAAAATTCTCCATCGTGCTCGAAAAATTGCAGGCTTTCGTCATCCATAAACCCGTCGTCTTCGTCAAGCTCCAGATCGAGCTCCATGTCATCGTCTTCTTCCAGGTCGTCAACTTCGAAATCATCGTCCGTGTCAGCCAGAGCATCAGCCTCTTCATCGGTATCATCGAACATTTCCATGAATGGAAGCCGGCGACCAGGCCGCACAAATTTGTGCCTCAGGCGATGCAGATCCCGCCGGGTGCTACTTAATATCTCGCTGATGTCAAGTTCGCCTAATTGATCCGTTTCAGGGGGTGGTACACCAAATTTCACTATGTCGCCCGGATTTACTATATGCCGACGAAAGCCCACTTCATCGGCATCGTACACACAGTGAACGACTGGAACACGTTCGTTGTGGAGATATGGAGGTATCAGACTTGGGCTCTTGTGCAACTCTATCAGCATCCGAAGATTGATGCCAGCCTTGAAAAGCTTGTATGCCTTTGCATGCCTATTGCGAAGAGACTCAGCGTTGCAGATATAGCTTGGTTCAGACAGATCGAGCCTACGCAATGTCAGTGGATGCTACAAGACCGAGAGGCCTCTTCCCCAAAGTATCGCTATCATTCTACAACTTACCAGATATATGAGGATTGCATAAGTTCAAGGGTGTCGAGGGAAGGGAGCGCAGCGTAATGATCAAAGTCGGGGGGGTGATCCCAAAAGTCAACAGGAACATCCCAGTGCCGGCGGATTCGAAGGGTCTGCAGTCGAGGAGGAGCTAGATCGCGGTTCATTACAATGGCTGTATGCAGGAATGAAGTCGTATCGCACTCCATGTAGTCAAGAGCATGAAAGTTGCGCATGCCATCGCCGGGAGGTCGAACACTGCGAAATATATGCGGGCTCGTATCTAGATGCCACCCAGGGTCAAGGTGTGTAAGTCTTTCTAGTGAATGAGCAACAGCCGACAGTGCCTTCAACGAAGCACTTGGATCTCTAGATAGAATAGGTTTGGCACCCCGCGACCGGTTGACATTGAAGACATTTTCACCGAGCGTCAATGACTTGAGTCGTGCTGGTGTGCGCAGGATACTGAGCAAGCTCTTAGGCTGAAGCTCGCACTCATCAAAATACAGCGATGTTAGTGGTGTTTTGCCGACATGTGTGGCAAGTTGTGGAATTTCTGCATCCGGGAAAGCAACGCAGGAGACATGAAGGTGGCGAAGGGTGGGGTGTTGAAAGAGACAATGAAAACCATTGAACTCCCAGAAATCCGTATCAGCACCGTGCGAATGAATCGTCAGACGCTCTAGCAACGCAAGTCCTACAGTCCGCTCGACATGCTTGCCGAGGCGTTGTTCTGCCAGAATGTTGTCTGCTTCTCTAGGGCCTTCTGCGCATGCAGTGTCCAGTGCGCGTCGGAAGCGCTGCATATCGCCTTCAACCCAAGCCTCGCCGCCAGCACCTTCCCAATGGAAATTATCATATGGACTCTCAATGTGCCAATCGCGTAGATTGACCATATCGGCAACACATTCGTTGAACGTTGCCCGCAATTCATCGCTGTCTTTCAAATCCCCTGGCTGGTATTGATATAAGATTTTCAGTGTTTGTACGGCGCGGATGCGCTCGCGGCGCAGCGTGAAGGCTGAGATGATGGCATGGAGATTCTTGACCGAGAGCAGCTCGACTGTCTTGTAGAGTCGCTCTTCAGCCAGATGCTGCATGCTGCGACAAGTCTGGGCGAGCGCACATAGAGCCTTATTGCTGCCTTCGAGATGGTCGATTACGAGAAGGGCAAGTTCGTTGGGGAGCCGCGAATTCGCGCTGCTAAGAGAAGCTGAAGCCATGCCACGCGATTTATGGCCTGTATACGGGCGTATATCGATGGGTGGTCGCAATGTTGATGGCCTGCTGCCTAGGTGTAGAAGATAGCACTATTTCCAGTCAGGAAATGAGCTCCGAGGGTGTATACCAGCAGGCTGACAAAAGTACGGTACCTTTACTCACCAAGCAGCTCCTCTTTAGTATTGATTATTTAGGCTCGAGTATACCCCTCATAACAAAGGAGCTGTTCAGGACGCGAATTTGGCCAGCGCTATTGAAATTATGCAGGGACGAGCGATGGAGAGCCGACTGCGGGGTTGCATGGGCACTGGCCAATGACGTCGGCGCGTCGTCAAAATCCCATGCACATGTCAAACCTATGCATTCTCCTGGAATTCACATGGCCTTTGGCATAGCTTCACCTTCACCTTCACTTTCACTAGGCTGCTCCATGATGTTGGTACCACTGATTGACCCCACCAGGGGCTGGCACAGACTGGACAACCACTCCGACACCAAAGGGTACACCAAACACGATGGATCTTGACTTCTATAGCTCCAGTGAGAATAGAAAGCGTACAGCAGAAGACACGTCAACGAACACGGAAATATCTACATTGGATTACCCGGATCCTCCGCCCCGCGTTCTCCGTCGCCACCATCACCGGCATCGCAATGCTGCTTCCGAAGTGTGGGGTCTAGACATTCCCTCCTCTCAAACGGCCTCGCCCCCTAGAAATGACACCCAAAAGCGACCATTCAGCGTCTACAAGGCTATCCTCCGGCACAACAATCTCTTCTTCCAGTTTGCTCTCCGCCTGCCGTATTCCTCACTCATCGACCTTTACGCCATTGACAAGGAGTTTCACTACCGCGTCAACAAGTACAGCGTTTCACTCATCCACGACTATGCCCGTCGCCATGCCCCTCTGGCTGGCCATATCTTCAGCTGGGTGCTGTACCCGCAGCTATGCATCTCAGACCCGATGCTCAGACCAATGGACGAGCGACAGTGGCTAGCGCGTGATGTGCCCGGCTTCCGCTGGGTTGGCATGATACTCTGGCGTCAGAACATTGTTCGATCCATCCTTACGATTCTCAGCATGGAAGGACACCGAGTACCTGCCGCATGTGAAGCTACGCTCATGAAGTTCTGGTGCCTCATGGAGATGAAGACTACAAAGCTGCGCCTCTCTTTCCTCAAAGATAAAGAGATCTGGTCTGATGCCGACATTATCAATTTTCAGCTTTTTCTTGTGAAGCTCAATATGCGCTTTTCAGACCCTGTTTTAGGAAATGGCTGTTGTCAGCTGGCGTCTTTGCTACTCGGCCAGAAGAGTTTAAGCACGCTGTGGAAGGTGCTGAGTGGCAGGCTCAAGTTGAACTACAATAGAGCAAGCCATATGGTGGCCAGGACATTTCACGAAGCTGATCTTGATATACACATGCATGTTGTGGTTGAAGAGATGACGGCTGAGGAGTTTGATGCACTAGGTATTTTGGCTCGTGAGGGCTGGCACAAGGACGGTACCAAGATGGAGCACGCCGTCGATATGGTCATTTCCGAGGGTATCAGAAGGAATTTGCACGTGCAAAAGTACTATATGGATTTTATCCTCTATGGCTTCATGGATGAGAGGACCGGGAAGAATGTACCTGTGCCGAGACAGTTGAGGGGTGAGAAGAACGTGAAGCTCCCAACTGAAGGATGGCCAGAGAAGAAGGTGAGAGATGACACTATCAAAAAGCTGGATGACCTTTTGGAGGTTTTTGAGGCCGTAAAAGAGGATGAGGTGGATACCAGCACTTGATTTCCGAGTACACAAAAGCTCTAGGAGTCGAGGCGACGAGGGCACAAGCTTTAGTAGTATAAATTTCGAAGAGAGGGTGATGCAAACACTTCTCATCCTCTTCTTCTACACACGATGAAAAACTACGATATAATACCACACGACCCATGACTCACCTTCCCCCCAACGCCAAATACTCCCCAACGACGCCCCTATAATCTCCCGGCATGTACGCCGTAAACCTCTCCCGCCACCAACTCCCCTTCCGCTCGTTACTCACTCCCACATCCTTCAACAACCGATCCACATACGGCAGACAGTCAAAAAACATATCCGGGAACCTAGCCCCGAACCCCCGACTGTAGCGCCACCTGCTGAACTGCGTGTGCAATACTGTCTCGTACATAATGCGCTTGGAGGCTGCAGTATTTTGGAGGGCTGGGATGCGGTCGTCGAAGTAGGCGGTTATCCATAATGCTTGGGTTTGCGATATTATGGTTGTGGCGGGGCTGCGGTATGCGCCTGCGAAGGCGAGGGTGCGGGTTGGGATGAATGCGGGTGGGACTATGTAGCGGTAGAGGCGGTAGGGTTCTTGCTGGGTTTCTTTATCGGTCTTTTCTGAAGATGCATTGCGTGGGGTAGGCTGGTTCTGGAGTTTGGGGAATGTAGCGAAGATTTGAGCGTCGGCGGCGCGGATGTGGTCTTGCGGTGTTTTGGGGGTGTGGCCGGGGAGACCGAGGTCCTTGGTTGTTTGGAAGTCGAGTTGAGGTGTATCTTTCCAGCCTGTGCCGCAGATCAGGACGTCGGATTCTATTGCTGTGCCAGTGGAGAGGTGGATGGTGTGGGGGGAAAGGTACGAGATGTCTGCGATGTGGACTCTGATCATGCCGTTGCGCACGAGTTCGAAGAAGTCGCTTTTGTAGTTGAGGAGACCGCGGTTTGTACCGATGAAGAAGACGTCGTCCCAGGGTTTGAGCTTTGCAGTTTCGGGATGGGAGTCGTAGCCATTGATTTCTTCAGTTGCGTGCTGCATCTTTGTGAAGAGGGCACCTGAGATCTTCTTTCCGAACCAATGCTGATGGAAGAAGTTGCGGATGTAAGTGAAGCCATCATCCCACATGCTCGGGCTAAGCCATGTAATCAGTCGTGTTTGTATAAGTAGCTCTGGAATAATCTTTAAAGGCGTCAGACGGTTCGGCATCATCCAACAAGGGCCATGACCAGATTCCCGGATGACCCAATCCACTTGAACTCCGGCAGAGGCGTACGCATATGCAATATCCCAGGAGAACTTGGCACCACTGAGTAGAGCAATCTTCTTGTACGGTCCCAGTCCACCCTCAGCTTTTGCGAATTCGCTTGAGTGATATATTGGTACACCAAAGGTTTCCTTCCCATCGAGTTTGGGCATCGAGGGTTCAGAAGTCAGTCCTGTTGCAACGACTAATCGCGAGGCCTCGATTTGGTAATCCTTTTCTGTCGAGTTTGTATGTTGTGAGACGGTTAACGTCCAGCCCATCGATCCTTGGTCCACGGCTGATTTGACACTGGTTTCGAGACGAATGTGTTTGGCCAAACCAAAAGTTTCCACGTAGGTGTGCAAGTACTTGTTTACATGTTCTCCGGGTATATGGCCGTCTACAAGGTCGAAGCCCTCTGTATCCATGGGAAGGTCGCTAAACTTTACCCGAGTCAGCTCCGTTCACCATGCTTACTGGAAGGCGCACATGTACCTCAAAAGTGCGGAAATGGTTATTTGTATGAAGTCCCGGGTACAGTCTTTCTTTTGCCCATACACCTCCTATGGAGGGGGACTTGTCTAGAACCAAGATTGACGCCTCGGGGTGAACATCGCGATATGTTTTGGTGATGACTAGGCCGTGTATACCTGCACCAACCACGACGAGATCGATTTTCTCAATGTCAGCCATAGCGATGGATACCGAGTGGTGTTATTTTGCTATCGATGTGAAATGCGGGCATTGCGCGATATATCTATCCAGTCTGACTGAATGTATGGCTTGATTGAGTTTCGCCAGAGCTGACTGAGAGCTAGAACGCCCCTTGTCTCAGGCCAGGGGCGGCACCGGCCCATCGTTCAATAGTGTGCTGGCTGAAGAACCAGAGACGGGTGACTAGCAACCGAGCGCACTCTAAATGAATCTTGGAGCCCAAGGCTTACCGCAGAAGCGAGAAATTCATCATCGACTCGCTCTTCCAGGCCAGCGTGGGCATGATTATGTGGCAGGTGCTTGGAGTCCTTGTCAGCATTGTTTGGATCTGACCAGCGCAATGCTCGCTGTGGCGTAGGGCTCAGATAGGTGGCCGCACTAGTACACAAGACTAAGTGGGGAATATGAAGGTCGAGGCAGAGGTGGCTTGGGGCCATTTGTTCAAGCCATATCTTTGCATGCCAATCACCTACTCTAGATCAGACGTGTTTTCGCCACCTGATGAAGTGTGATGACATTTGATTCTTATCTCTCACATGCACAAACAGCTTGGCGGACTTTGCGCATCGCATCAGCAGTGCAAAGTGATAGGACACACAGAACCTTGAGGTGAATTGAAGAACAAAAACATAAAAGGTTGGAGGATACGCTGGGAAAGGTGCGTGGTAATACATGCAGCTCTAGCACAAACCCATTGCACCAATCATGATGTGGTTCTGGTACTTAGCGACCAGCCGCTTACTCTTTCCGTTCATCACAGTCCTTCGCGAAGTATTGAGGTGCCTTTTCAGAGCATGCTGCTATTCGAGTACAACAATGAAACGGATGTCATCGTGATTACTGACGGGGCCAGTCACGTCTCATACCACTCAAGCTTTGTTAAGCACAGCTAAGCATGAAAACACTTAGCTCTTTTTTTCTTTTGTAGTACCAAACATGAGCTTACCAACCATTGAAATCACATCGCATGCTGGAGTACCGGCTCGGTAACTTGCCGCGGGAAGCAGCAGCAATCAAAGGCTAGATAGATGGGGGATAAAGTGCGTTGTACCATCACCTCTTTCCATGTTGTACAAGGCGTGATAAACTGGGGGAAATGCGCATATAGCCCGGAAAGAATGGAGTATCTTTGCGTTTGAAGGAGTATAGATCAAGAGGTCATTCCGACGAGGAACGGTAGACTGGCTGCGAGGTTAAGCAGGAATTGACTACCATCCTTCTTTCGAACTAAACAGCAAAAAAAGGCTAGACGCAATCGCTCGGCATGATGATCCATTTCTTCTTATGTGTTATACACGCCAGTTTCTCCAAGTCTTTTCCAATCGTACAAGAGGCAAAATCTACATGGCAACTCTCAAGCATTTCCTCGACACCCTCTTGGGTATCCGGCATTACTACCAGTACGGGTGCGAAATTTCTTCGATTAGACGTTGATCATTTTTTGGTAACTGCGAGCGAGATTGCATACAAAAAGGGCAGGTCCTAGATGGCATGCGATGCCAACATTGGATGTTTGACCATGCGGACATGGGATTCGATGAGGTGAATTCTTATGATGCAGGAAACGAAAGGATTATGAGGTGTTCGCATTATTTCTGTTTGTATCAAATGGCGAGAGCATGAAATGGCATCCAAGGGAGCCTTAGGGAGCTCAATTTTGTTTATCGTCTTCTATGATCAAACCATCTATTTGCTTGAGAGGATCTGGATCAACAGTAGTGTGCTCTATACCTACTAACCCCACGAGAGCCTCATCATCGATATAGTCTCTTGTTTCGGGGTTTGAGTTTGGCTGCTGACCATGTGCAGCCTTGAGCTTCAAAATGTCACTTTCACTGAACTTTTTGAAGGCCTTCGGATTCTTCTTTTCCTTCTTGGCATGTGACTGGCTCTTGAATTGATAGCCCCTCACACGCGGTCCTTGGCCAGTCTTTTCGGGAAGGGCGGGTTCGTAGTAGGATTCGAACGCAGCTACATCAGTGTCAAAGGTCCCAGTCTCGATTGAGGCTCGCACTCCAGCAAAGAAGGCTGAGAGGATGGCGTGATTGTGCATCTGAATCAACACCCAACCTAGCATTTCCTTGGCAGCAAGGAGGTGCTGGAGGAAGGCGCGGTGATGCTTTGTACAAGCATAACAAGTGCAGCCATCTGAAAGTGGGGTGACAGATTGCGCATGATGGCCACCCCACATATCGATTCCTAAAGAGCGGCGGGTGTTATCGCTCGACTCGTTCCTGGGCGCTGGGAAGGTGAAATCGAGCACGATGCCAGCATCCGTCGCATCATTTACAAAGGGGACGGTAAATATATCCATGCCAAGGCTGATATGACGGAGAAGCTCGTGGGGGGTGGCTGGGGCATGGAACGACAATCTGGGAAGATGGTGCAATTGGTCTGGGAGGTCATCAAGTAGATAGGCGTCGTATATGGCAACACCACTGATTTTGTCCATCATATCGTCAAGTAGATGTTCGAGATACCATGACTGAAGGTCACGCTCGATGGGCAGTATGGGCGCGAAAATGGCGCAGCCTTTGCCTTGATTATCCACTGTACTTTGCTTGACAACCAAGTCGCGCAGCCAAGTCTCAGTTCTGTCGCTCATTCTGTCCTTGCGCTTAAGGCTCACTGATTCCTGGCCAAAGGGAATATCGGCCAGCCCGATAACAACATCTGGCTGTAGCTTACTCGTAGCAGCGGCATAAAATTCCGATGAGACAGCAGTGAAGCCGACTGAAGTCAAGAGGCCTACTTCTGTGTTTGAGTTTGCGTGGGGGCTCGGTATGGGCGGATTGCGACGCGCACCCAGGACGAGGAGCGTCTCTGGAGGAAGGGCGATGAAGCTGCGAAGTGGCTCGGGAACGTCATACTTCAGTACAGGCGGTGTTTTTTGAGGGTGCTTTTCCACGACTGCAAAGAGTCAGCCATGTGCTGGAGCTGCTGATGGCTGCGCTACCCACAGTCTTCGAGGGGAACATAGACGCCCTCTAGCCCGACTCTTTTCTGGAAATTATCTTGGGAGATGTGCGGAATGATACCGCGCGACGTGCTGCCGATGAAGCCGGGGGT